TGCCTTCTCCAGATGCAAAAGATGATTCCTTTTAGTTGTTTACTTGTTTTTTCTTCTTACAATCTTAAAAATGGGTTGTTTTTTAGCAAATGGGTATGACCCAAGAAACATTTGAAGACATCACTTGTAGAAATGGGTTATGTACTTATATATGCCCGTGGCTACTGTGTGCTTTATGCGTGTTTGAAGATATTATGTATAATGGTTTTTGAGACTCCATGTTATTTCTGCATCTTGATTACCTGATATATGTTGAGTATGAACATAGTATTTTTTTTTTATCACCAGAGCGTAACGAACTACAGAAAGATATTGAACAGTTGTGCATGCAACAAGGTGGACCTAGCATTCTTGGTGTGGCTACTCGGATGCATTTTCAGAGGTATCTTATTATCCCACTTCCTGATTTGACTTAAGTTCCTTATAGATGTATAAATTAAGAGCCCTGTTGCTAAATATTATATTAAATGATATTGGATGATACTATTAGGACAGCTAGCTTGGAGCAGGAAATCGAGAGCTTAAAACTGAAGTTGGCTGCTTCCACAAGGGAGAAACACAACCTTCAAGAGGAGCTTGCAGAAGCTTACCGTGTGAAAGTGAGTATCTTTGAAGCTTTTAAAATAAAATGCTTTTGATTTTAAGAATATTCAGAAGCAAATGTTTACAAGCTGTCTCTTCAGGCTCAGTTAGCAGATTTACATGCTGGAGAAGTAGCAAAGGTCTCTCTCATTTTATACTAATTTTTAATCTGCTTTTATTTTTAGAACATATCCTCCTAACATCTAAGTATTCTGATGTATTCTTTCGCTTCCAGAACTTGGAAGCAGAAAAGCAGGTTAGATTTTTCCAGGGTTCTGTGGCAGCTGCTTTTTCTGAAAGGGATAAGTCAGTAATGGAGGTATGAGAGAATTCCATCTCAGTCTAATGAGAAGAAGCAACTTTTATTCTGAGAATTTATTCTTTTTAACTTACTTTTTGATTGTTTCCTGACTTTGACCAGGCCGAGAAAGCTGAAGAGAATGCTGAAATGATGTCCCAGAAACTTGGTGAAATTGAGATGCGGTAATTGTGACCCTGTTCACCTTGTTTTATTTTACCAGCCCCTTTCTTTAGGAAAAAAATTATGTTCTGTAGTTGCATCTACTTATTTAAATCTCTCTAAAAATGATGTTCTATAAGTGTTCTATAAACACTTTCCGCCCTCAAGAATTTGGCAAATGTCGATGTTACTACCTAAGCCATGTGTCAAAAACTGGACAGACATACAGCTTGCATTATGCTTACTCCTAGCCTTCTGTTACTTATGTTTTTCTGACCTTCCTTGTTTGGTCCCTGGTGATGGTGAGACAGGTTGGAAGAACTTAGCTCAGATTGTCTCGTACAGAAGAGACTAAATGACACTTTGCAAGCTGACTTGGCAAAACTTGAAGAACAGACTAGAACATATGCACAGGTAATTTTCTTTTTGCAACGAAATTCATCCCTGATAGCATTTCACGTTTTGTTTCCCCTTGTTTTTCCTCTTAAAATTCCACAACTTCCGATCCAGATATTTTACCTACCTCACAGTTATCACAGTTTTTTTTTAATATTCATGAATGTCAGTGACTAAATTCTTTCATGTTTTACTTGACCTTTCTATTCTCTCTCTCTCCCTGTTCAGGTGATTGAGAAGTTCTATGATATCCGTAAAGCTTCGCTCTGTGAGTCCCTTGAATTGAGTTTGCACAATAAGTGTGCAAGTTTATTGGATGATCCTATAGAATCATGGACGTTCAATGATCCTTCAACATCAGAATATGTAGTAAGTTTCTGAAAATATCTCCAACCCTTTTTTTTTCTTGGACACTGTCTCTAAGGCAAGCTACTTATTTCGTCGTTTGAGCGTTGACTATTTACCATTGGCTGGTAATGTTGGTTTAAATAGAAGACTTTTGTCTATTGACTTTGACTAGCACCTCTGGATTTCAGCAAAATGAGTTTTCTGGAAAATACTGGTTTACATTTAATTGTATGGTTTCCGTAAAGCACGGATAGTAAATCCAAAACTACGACAGCATGTGGGAAGTTTTTACTTAGTAACGATGTAAAAGTTAGTGTTTACGAAATTTGCAAATTTTTACAGAAAACTGAACTCGTGCAAGTTTCTCACTCGTAATGTAAAAGTTAGTGTATACTCGATATTGAATATCCATATATTTTGTTTCTATCTGCTATTTGAACAACTCTTTTCAGACAGGCTGCACTAGAAGGAGAGTTGGGGAAGGTTAAGAACACTGTGGATAATCTTCAGAGTAAATTACGAGTGGTATGTATCCTTTCCTTCCTCATCTGTTTATCTTCAAGTATTACGAACCTCGATGCAACATTCACTAACGGCTGATATTTCTTACGCTAGGGCTTAGAAATTGAGAATCATTTGAAGAAGAGGGTTCGTGCGTTGGAAAAGAAGAATGTGGGTACTCAATGCATTATAATTCCTGAAGTCTAGGATTATTACTCTTACCCTTTGAGGTGTCACTATTAAGTATTAACTTGCATACAGATTGTTGCAGATAGGCTGATCGTTAATGGCATTACAGATATACGCCATCATCATTCCCAACTGAGGGCCTACATCATTGATTTACTTAATGAAGAAGGACTATACATTAAATCGATTTCCAAAAATGTTGAAGAAAAACTTAAACTTCACTCATCGGAAATACGGAATGTAGTGCCACTGCAACATGATTTCAAGCCTGATGAGTCTGAATGCCGGGATGTGCATATAACTACAGTTGTTGAATCTTGCCAAGTAACTAAGGTGTGATTGCTGGCAGATTTTGCAACAAAATTTCCTCTTTTTTGCTCTGCATTTTATGTCATTAAATTTGTGATTTGTTTAGACTGACATCGATGTCGGAAACTGCTAATTTACGACGTAATGTCTAAAACCGTAGAGATTCCTATATCCGAATTCCTCAACCGTAATGGACAATCAGCATCTAATAGCATACTTGATCTTATATAATGTGAAAGTGGTTGGAGCTATTATTTGAGATTTGGATCATTACTGTCTCTTACAATTGGTCATGACCATTTTTGTTGTTGTAAGAGCGTTTCTCTTCTGAATGCAGCTTGCGGAAGGTAGTATTGCCAAAATCATGGCTGAAAGTAGAGGGGATACATCTGAAGCACTTGCACAAGCATTACAAGAGAAGGTTATTCTCATTTCCTAATGATCCATGATATAATAGTGGAGAAGATTCATAACATAATTGCATCTCATGTATCGTGACTGTTGACTAGTCTTCAATGTTTAATGGAAGAAACAATCCTTGGGTCATTTTTGTTCATATGAGTATGCTATATTTCTGCTCTAGTAATGTGTATATATGATTTTTAATTCTTTTTGGATGTATTGTTAGGTTGGAGCTCTTTTACTTCTATCACAGCAGGAAGAGAGGCATTTACATGAAGAAAATGTCAATGCAGCTCTCCAGCAGAAAGTAGATGAGCTTCAAAGGAATATCTTGCAGGTTTCTTTTTTCTACATTAAGTTGTTTCCAGATGTTGAGATAGAAAAAAAATAACCTGTTTAACTCCTACGGCCAGTTCTGAATCTTGAATATTCTTTTAGGTTACCAACGAAAAGGTGAGAACCCTTATGGAGTTAGCACAACTACGACAGGAATATCAGTCACTAAGAGAGTACGATGCCATACTTATAACTTTTTTATCAGATTTGTCTTAGTTTTATTTGCATGAAGTTCCATTTCTGGTGCTTACATGTTTACACACATTGGTATATTCTGAATATGTGTGCTACTCTCTCTCTATCATTCTGTCTCGTCTACCTTGCAATACATAGTAAGATTTGCAATTTATTGCGTAGTTGCTAACAATGTAGACAACCTGAAATGTTGTTGATATTAAAAGTTAGGTAGTGCACGTCCTGTAAATGGTCTAAGCTGTCCTTTGAAACCAATTCCCCTCTATCTTCTGTTTCAAAGTCAGGAATTTGCTTTGTAATGTTGTTTCCTTGTACCTGCCATGCTAGTGACATTTCTCAGGGATGCTACTGTGTTGTAAATATTTTTGAGTCTTATGTAGAGGTAACTGTTAGATTCCTCTAAAAATACTATATCCTTGCCAGGAAATTGAGTGGTACAAGAGGGGAAGAAACAACGGAAAACAGTGGCAGGATAGGTTTCTCCAATGAGAAAGAGGGAAGACTAAAGAATATGTGGAAGAAGTCTTACATAAACCGTTGGATTGACCCAAGTTCAAGAGGCGGAAGTCACTTGAACACTGAAGCAGATTATGCCAGTAACATTGATTATTCCAGGTTTGGCATCCTACATTTAAATTGGCAAAGATTTTCTTTTATTGGTTTCCTTTGTCTAATCATATACTTGGAAGCATCTGCGATTTATAGCGATTGTTTTGGCAGAATGAAAGTAGAATACGCAGCTATAAAAGAGAACCTGGAAAGCATGGGACACTTGACTACTTCGATCCGCAGGCTTCGGCTAGCGCTCTTGAAGGTAATTTCAGCACACTAGAGTGATATGGACTAAGTTTTGGTTCTTTCCTGTTAGGTTAAATTTTAGTTGTTCCTGTTTACAGGTAAAGGAAACGAATGATACTGAAACAACTGCGAGAAGTTGCGAAGTAGCGATTGCCAACATCCTTGTGGAGGCAACCCATTTGAAGACTGCCCTTGGCATCTCTATACCCATTAGCTGGTCGGCGGAATCAGACATGGAATCAGTTACTGATGGCGAATCGAGCTGTGAAAGGACGGATTCTGTTTCTGCTGCAGGATTTGAGATGGTGGAGCTTGTTATTCTAGCAGCCGAGATAATGAAAGAACAACACCATTGAAATTCATTCTTCAGTCCTTACCGGCATTTTAAGTTGGTCTGTGCATATGATTTATTGAGAAACCTTTCATGAATTTCAAATCTTCATTAGTCGATAGGATGGTTTAGTATTGAGGATTCGTGAGAATTTAATTTCAAATCTCTTTATATATTATGTATTATCTCTCATAGGATGATTCACAATATATGATAAATAATATAGTTCAGTTTTCAAGCATCAATTACAAGTTGAACCTCTTGAAGATGACCCGTCTCCTTTGTTACCTCCAAGCTGAAGCTGGTGGACAAGTTCTTCATCGACGGATTAGTTACAGTCACTCTGTAATGTCCATGCAATAAGGAAATCTCTGGAGAAAACCCGATTATTCGACCTTCTTCTTCATCATTATGTTCATGGTGTTGGATAGGAATCTCTACAGGTTCTTGTTTCCACTCTCGGATTAATTTGTCAATGAGATCCCCTGCTTGTGTGTTTTTGAAATCATTATTGGCAAGCGTTAACTTGTTGAAACCGGATACTTCAGGTCCTCCCCATAGGATTATTGCTTTAACCGCAGGGTGCGAGTAAGCTTCCCTAAGAATATCCTCCAAGTATTTAACCTATCACAGAAATCGAACCATGGCTTGCTTGTTATGTTATCTTAGCTCAAAGTGTTAAACTAGTCAAATGTGCATTGCATATATATATACCTGATCCGGACACTTGGCCACATCAACCTCCGTAAGCCAAACCGGAAAACCCAAAGAGCCTAACGTATCTAATGCGGATCTCATGTAAGCCAAGTTGGGCTGATTTGGAGGAAAGTGACCTTGTGCTCCAATTCCTCCTTTGATATTATTGTTTCCTGGGAATGAAATAATCTCTTCCATCTTCTTCTTCACGTTAACCGGACTCCCAATTACTTCGTTTGCATATTCTAATGTGTTGAACTCGTTCACGAACAATGGTACCTCAGGATCAAGCTTGGATGCCAAAGAGTAGACAATAGCTGAAGCGTTTTTCCCTAGCATGTCCTCAAAGTATCTGAAATGCACATTCTCATTCATAACATCCCATCCAATTACTCTCCCTTTATATCTCTTCATAACCGAATTGATCCGGTTGAGTGTCACTTTCCTCAAATCTTCCGGATCTGTGATTGTCTTAACCCAACTTGGCTGCCACGTCTTATCGTCCCACAAGACCGTATGTCCTTTGACTAGTACCTTGTTTTCCTCTGCAAGTTTCATCATTGAATCAGCCAAATGGTAGTTCTCTTGACCTCTTACTACCTCAGTTGAATACCATTTCATTTCATTGGTGAAAGAAGTTAGTCTAAACCGCGACACAAACCATTTTCTATAGCTATCGCTTTTCAAAATTAGGTAGTTCATAGCACAACCAAGGAGGAATGATGGTTTGATCTGTTCTATGGAAATCACTGATCCTTTCAGTGCGCTTTTGTTCTTAAAACGCATTTGAAATCTCACTTTATTCTTCCGAATCTGCGATTTTTCCCAAAGTCTTAGATTGTTTCAAACGCTTATAAAACGTTTTCATTATATATGTATAATACCTTTTCAATTAGTTGGTCTTGTTGTAGCCTCCACTGAGTTTTATTGAACTGTTGAATCCTCACATTTTGTACTGATATCTCCGAGGCCGCTAAGCCATCGCTCTGCTTCGCATAAATTCCCTACATTAGTGCTTGAAATCTCTACAAATGAACACACAATTAATACTGTTCTTTTTACCTTGAAGAAAATGTCGATAGGGCCTGAGAAATCAGCGGTAATACCGCCTTTAAGCAAAGACCAGCATCCTTTTTTCGCCATAACTTCACCTCCGAAAACGTTTCTCCCATTCTCTCCCCTAAAAGTCATTCCTACTTTTGTCTGACTCTCATTTCTCAACTTCACCCAAGCTGATTAATTCACCCAATTCAAGAATTTTAAATAATAACTTTTTAAAAAATCATAACTTACTACACAAGAAACAATAAAAACCAACATTTTCTTACCAGAAACACTGTATATGTTTCCTTCCTGAAGATCAACTCTCTCTACTACATTTCTGATTCCACCACTTTCGTTTATCTTGAATTCTTCGAATCCTTCTCCTCCGGTATTGCCTTGTTTGTGGAGCCTCCATGAGGCACTTTCTCATGAAATTACATAGGTTAAAAAAATTACATTCCATTAAAATTATAAAAATGAATGAATTTATATATACTTTTGTTATACCTCTGATTTTAGAGACTGGTCGTCGTAGGAGAAAGGATCTATGCAATGCCCTGAACCAAGAAGAAAAAGAGAGATGAGAAAAAACACCAAGTGGATAAAGCCATTGTTGAATCTCTTCATCTTTTCTTGTGACAACTCAAAAGTGCTCAATGAGATATGTATGAAGACCCTTCTTATGGGATTAATCCACTATCGTTAAATAAGTATATATTATATAGCACACAAAGGTATATATATATATATATATATATATATATATATATATATATATATATACAATTTTCTTATCTTTATATTATTTATACTGTGATCATTCTTTTAAGACACAAAAATCTGATTGTTAAGAATATTTTCCATATTGCACAAGCCATATAGCTAAGTATTTTCTATAGATGAAAACATAACATATTGTAATGATTGAACACTTAGTAATTTTAGAATTTTTAAGTATTTTATGATAGTAATATACTAATATGGTTGATATTCAACTGCATAGAAATAATTGTTTTTTTTTAATTTAATAACAAATAATCAGCTAAATAGTAGTTCCTTTCAATTATATATAATTTTTAACAAGAAATGTTATGATTTAAAGATATAAATTATCAAACAATCAATACAAATAGTTATGTAAATTTTAAATTGACTATTTGAATACAATGTTGTATTTAACATGTATATATATAATAATTATGATATTATTTCTTATATATTAATTGATAAATACTCTTAAAGAAATTTTTTATCCTCACGTGTTATTAATGAAATTGTCATGCTGACGTGTCGCTCACAGAGAGATTCTTAATCAGTTTAAATAATTGTCCGATCTTTACTAGAATATTTACAGATTTTGCCATTAGTGTTATATATACATATCCCACACAAAATTTTTTAAAAAAGAAATTCAAATTAAATAAAAAAATTATTAAGTAAAAAACATGGAAAAAGAGCTTATAGGAATGAATTTTTGATTAATTAACGAAAATGTTAATATATTTATTAGTTAGTCATTTAAATTTAGTTTGACATAGGGTAAAATTATTACTTATGAGATTACAACATATATAAAAAATAATATTCTATTTGCATCATTTTAAATGATATTTTAGTTTTTTTTTTTTCATTTTAAGTGATGTTTTTAACTTAATATATATTACTTATGAAATTATGACATATATAAAAATTATACTCTCACAATATATGATACATAATATAGTTCAGTTTTCAAGCATCAATTACAAGTTGAACCTCTTGAAGATGACCCGTCTCCTTAGTTACCTCCAAGCTGAAGCTAGTGGAAAAGTTCTTCATCGATGGCTTAGTTACAGTCACTCTGTATTGTCCATGCAATAAGGAAATCTCTGGAGAAAACCCGATTATTTGACCTTCTGCTTCATCATTATATTCATGGTGTTGGATAGGAATCTCTACAGGTTCTTGTTTCCACTCTTGGAGAAATTTGTCGATGAGATCCCCTATGTCTGTGTTGTTGAAATCTTTATCGGCAAGCGTTAACCTGTCGAAACCGGACATTTCAGGCCCTGCATATAGGATTATGCCTTTAACCGCCGGATGCGAGTAAGCTTCCCTCAAAATGTCCTCCATGTATTTAACCTATCACGGAAATTGAACCATTATATTGGCTTGCTTGTTATGTTGTTAGCTCAAAGTTTGAAACTAGTCAAATGTGCATTGCATATATACCTGATCCGGGAACTTGGCCATATCAACCTCCGTAAGCCAAACTGGAAAACCCAAAGAGCCTAATGTATCTAATGCAGATCTCATGTAAGCCAAGTTGGGCTGAATTGGACCAAAGTGACCTTGTGCTCCAATTCCTCCTTTAATATTACTGTTTCCTGGGAATGAAACAATCTCTTGCATCTTCTTCACCACGTTAACAGGGCTCCCAACTCTGTCTTTAGCATACTCTACCGTGTTGAACTCGTTCAAGAACAACGGTATATCAGGATCCAGCTTGGAGGCCAAAGAGTAGACAATAGCTGAAGCGTTTCCACCAAGCATGTTCTCGAAGTAGTTGAAATGCACATTCTCATTCATCACATCCCATCCTATTAATCTCCCTTTATATCTCTTCATAACCGAGTTGATTCGGTTGAGTGTCACATTCTTCAAATCTTCTGGATCCGTGATCGTTTTAACCCAATTTGGCTGCCAATACTTATAGTCCCACAAGACTGTATGTCCTTTGACTAAAATCCCATTTTCCTCCGCGAGTTGCATCATTGAATCAGCTAATTTGTAGTTCTCTTGACCTCTCACTGCCTCAGTTGCATACCATTTCATTTCATTGGTGAAGGAAGTTAGTCTAAACCGCGACACAAACCATTCTTTATAGCTATCACTTTCCAAAATTCGGTAGTTCATAGCACAACCAAGGAGGAATGATGGTTTGATCTGTTCTATGGAAATCACTGATCCTTTTAATGCGTTTATGTTTTGAAAACTCATTTGAAAGCTCACTTTATTCTTCCGAATCTGCGATTTTCTCAAAGTTTTAGATTGTTTGACACTATTATAAAACGTTTTTATTGTATATGTATAATACCTTTTCAATTACTTGGTCTTGTTGTAGCCTCCATTGAGATTTGTTGAACCGTTGCAGCCTCACATTTTGTATTGATATCTCTGAGCCCGCTAAGCCATCGCTCTGCTTCGCGTAAATTCCCTACATTAGTGATTGAAATCTCTACAAATGAACACACAATTAATTCTGTTCTTTTTACCTTGAAGAAAATGTCGATAGGGCCTGAGAAATCAGCGGTAATACCGCCTTTAAGCAAAGACCAGCATCCTTTTTTCGCCTTAACTTCACCTCCGAAAACGTTTTTCCCATTCTTCCCCCTAAAAGTCATTCCTACTTTACTCTGACTCTCATTTCTCAACCTCACCCAAGCTGATTCACCCAATTCAAGAATTATAAATCATGTTTTTAAAATCATAACTTACTTCACAAGAAACAACAAAACCAACATTTTCTTACCAGAAATGCTATATATGTTTCCTTCCTGAAGACAAACTCTCTCTACTACATTTCTGATTTCACCATTTTCGTTGATCTTCAATTCTTTATATCCTTCTCCTCCAGTATTGCCAGTTGTTTGTGGAGGTTCCATGAGGCACTTTCTTATGCAATTACATAGATTAAAAACATTGTATTCCATTAAACTTATAAAATGAATGAATTTACAGATATTTTTATATACCTCTGATTTTAGAGACTCGTCGTAGGAGAAAGGATCCATGCAAAGCCCTGAACCAAGAAGAAGAAAAGAGATGAGAAAAAACACCAAGTGGAAAAAGCCATTGTTGAACCTCTTCATCTTTACTTGTGACAACTTAAAAATGCTCAATGATATTAAATAAGTAAACATTATATAGCACACAAAAGGTTCTTTTTTTTTTATAAATAATTCCAGTGGAACTAGTATAATTTTCCGTTAACTCTCTAGAATTAGGGGTTTTCCTCCTCCTTTTGTTTTCTTTGTTTTGTCTTTTCCAGCTGTGTTGGTTTATAGATTTTTCAATACTTCAAAATTAAAAATTATATTCGAATTTTGAAATACTAGTACAATATAGGAGATAAAATGAAAAAAAAATTCATATTAAATGAAATATATCTATGTGAAAATAAAAAACCATATGCCAAAAATATTAAATAAAAATTAATTAATAAAACAAAGCAATGAAGAAATAATACCTCAGTAACGTGAAGAGAAAAAAAAAATACTTTCAATCAAAAGGGCAAATAACATCTCACGAGAAAACACATTAATTTAGTTATGACCCAAAAATATGTGTGTGCATGGCTCATGTGAATAAAATCAAAAAGTTCAAAAATACAATTAAGACATATTTGTGTGGCCTATCTTGATTAATGTAATTATGTAAATGATATCATCAAAAATCCATTACTATAAGAAATTTAATGTTTAAAGTCAACCCAACAATTTTATGTGTCTAAACCCACAACAAAAAACACCGGTCAATAACCATTTTAAGAGTGCTGGGAAAAGATAAAAGCTAGATAAGAAATTCAGAAACATTCACGAATCATTATATCATATATGTTTCAGAATTCTAATTTTACTTTATGCAAATTTTCTTAATTATATTTTAGCAGTATTTTAGTAAATGTGTATAATTAGTAATTTCTGTAAAAATGTTTTTTTTTTTTGAAAATAAATTAGTTATATTATTGAAAATTATTTTATTCAAAAGTAGTTTAAGTTGGGACAAAAAATGTGTATAACTTTATCGAATATTTTTTACAACAATTGTGACCATCATGATACGTCTAAACAAAACGTATGTACATTACACGTGTTAGTATCATAAGATACATTATGTGTCTAACTAAATCCAGGGTTTGATAAATACAAATACCGATATGTTATTTTCTTAATTTATCATTAATTAAGCAATTAAGTGTAAACTACATAAAAAAAAACTTAGACAAAGAGCCGAACTTGTCCAAGACTAAGCGATGATTTAACTTTTTTTTTTTCCCGCCAACTAAAAGATTTAACTTTAAAACTTTGATGATTGATTCTATTGACTAGCTTGTCCAGTTCTCCGAAGCTACATCGTAGTTTTCATATTACGTAAGTCATAGGTTACACTTAGAGCCGGCCAAGCATGAGCTTGCGGCCTTTGAAATATTATCTATTTTTCTCGGCAGTAAATTTGTAACAAAGTAGTCAAAAGAGAGTGTGTCGACTCAAAGCATCATCAACTTTATGAAGCATTCTGGCTTTATGTTTGATAACAAACGAAAATTGTTGTAGATAACCAAATCATGAAGTGTGTCTAGCCGAAAATATATCTTGGGGACCAAAGTGTTTGAGAGCATCATAATCAGTGTAAAAACAAATTTTTGATGAAAAAGATAGTATCTCCAATGTTTAACAACTTGTACCACCACATAGAGCTCCACATAGTATGTGCCATAGCGTATCCGAGAAACCGCAATCTTTTAACTAAAAAATTCAACATGATGACTTTCACATGCCTTTATATTTGAAAAATGCATAAAAAATAGATCCGGTAAAACCCAGCGCTTGGCCCATTACGTTTACCTGCATTATATCCAACATTGTGCTCACATCATTTCCAAGTTTATCTTACCACGTAAAAAATGTCTCATGTGAAGATACAAAGTCAAAAAAGTCAAGAAGAACATAAGAAAAGAAATAGTCGAAAACAGTTTAATAGAAACTCACCCAATCAAAGGGAAGTCCAGCAAATATAAGCCAACCTAGTGTAATGGTAAATAGATCCTGCCATGCATATCATTTACAGTTATTAATTAATAAAATGACATTGCTATTTGAATATTGTTCAACAACACTATAAGTCAAATAGAGAGAAGTGTGGTTTATGTAAATGAACCTAACTTCCAACACTCTATTTTTTACTCTAGTTTTTACACTAACTTTATTTTATAATAAGAAATAGAGTGATACATTGGAAAGAAACCCTACTCTATTTTAAAACCACTCTATAATAGAATAACAAATAGAGAAATACATTGAAGATGGTCTTAATTGTACCTTTAGATTACCACATATTGAATGTGTTAGTGCTGAATTAAGGGTTGTGTTGAGGAACACAGAGTAATTTATCATGAAAGCCAACATACATGAAAGACATATCACCACCTACACAAATATTTATAATCAATCATTAATCCATAAAACAATTTGTAATCATTTTAAGTTGTTCGCATTGCAAGAGATTTTATTTAGTTTATAGATACTATGTTTAAGAGTCCATGAAAAATGTATACCTTGTACACATAAATCATTGATGATTTGCAAGTAAATTTTTAGAATGTGATGGCACCCTATATCGAATTCTATCGGGATAATTTTGCGCGTACTTCGAGAAATCGACGAATCGCCTTGTTGTGTTACCTCGAAAGAACAAAATTCTCAGAGAGACTTACGAAACTCCTTTCTTTCGTTTTTTCAAGACAACTTAAATTACTTGATTATCTTATTAGGCTTTAAAGATTCCCTCAATGTAGCCTACAACCCCAGAAAACCCTAAAGACATTATAAGAAAACATATACCTTAACACCCATGCAATCCTAGAAGATATTATAATTCTAACTAAATCTTCCAAGTGAATTAGTGTATATCATAATGTTGATTGACAATTAAATTAGATGATATTTGTATAACCGTTGAAGATATGCGATGCGAATTGTATAACGATCCTATTAAAAGGTTAACAAACAAAATAGTAAACAGTACCTGAAAGCCAACAGAGTAGAGATGAGGAAATGATAACATGGCTTCTAGTTCACCTTTTACCGATGTCCATAACAACAAAAAGGGGATGCAAATTATTCCTGTTATGTTAGAGATGAGATCAGTTTAAACATATTACAACATTTTTCTCTAATAATTCTGTAAATGATCTCTTTCTTACCATTGCACCACATTAGTCCAAAGATGTTGAGGCCACTCGATTTTCCTAAGAATATGAAAAAAAAAAGTATGAAGAATGCAATTAAAGTAGAACTTCATAACTAGAGTAAGATGTAAGAAATATTACCAATACGTGCAATCAAGGCAAGGTAAGTTGCGGTACATATATTTGCCGTGAATACAAGTCCATACCCATAACCATCAAACGATAAGTCTCTTATTCCAGCTATTATAGCACCTAATATAATTATTCCCACGCTGAAAAAAATACTTGTATGAACAATATATATATAACTAGAATTATACGTATCTAAAATAAGTTAACAAAAATCTTTAAAAAATCGATTTCTAGATCAAAAATTTTCAATTAAAATGTGTCGTGCTCGTCAGCTTTCTTACTAAAGTATTATATAAGAGACTACACAATTACAACAGAGGGTGATATATCATAGAAATTTTCTTTTTCAACCGTACATTAAAATATAAAAGTACCTCTTTGGTTATTTACCCAATTAAAAAGAAAACTATGGTTCTAGAGTAACGAGCTTGAAAAATAAGTTTTTTATTTGCGTTGAAATACAATGTAAATTCAAATACATAATTTTTAGTTAAATATTAATATTACTTGAAATTTTAATCGATTAGCTATTTTTATAATTATATATATTATAGCTATAATTAAGCCTCGTTTCTATTATATATTATAAAATTGTTCTAAAGATTAAAGGAATTGTTAAGTTGATTTACCAGCATAAATCTAACATAATAGCAATTCTAAGCTTATTGGAAAAGTCTGTAATACCTGAAGATGATTAAAACAGAATGCTTTTGACCAGAAAGGAAATATTCCATAATCATCGTAAAAAATATAGTAGTTCGTCGGAGCGTTGTGTACATTGGAACATTGATATTACGTACGGACTCCATTGTTACTAGCTGTAATTATAAGAAAAAAAAAGCAGGAAATAAAATGTTATCTATGAGATTAATTGAAGAACAAGAAGGTAAATTTAATATAAAATAAAAAATAAATCAATGCATACCATATAAAATAGATATGTGAATGCAAGAGGGATCGTCTGAAACAACCTTTTTCTTGAAACAAGAGTAAACAAATTGTTGTTGTGCTCGCTCTTTGATCTATCCTTATTGAAGGATATGATCTTAAAATATCTCATCACATACAAAATTAGACAAGAAGAAAGCATCTGCAACACAAAGAATGAGTATGAAAAGCGCACGGTACAAGCTTTTTAGCGGGTAAAAAGGTGAATCATAACATAATAGCTTAAACAGTATTAGAAAACAATACTAAAATGCTGAAAATAACGTTTTTGATAACGTTTTTGTGGTTAGTAAATCACACATCATTAATTGTTAAGAGTTGAACGAAATTGAGCAACAAGAGTAAGTTAGTTACCTGAAGTAGAGTAATGACATTTGCACTTGGAAATCTGTATGAAGAAAGTGCCGCTTTATTGAACATAACTAATAGAACTGCAAGTAATTAGATTTGGAACTTATTATATATATATACAACAAATATAAGTATGTGAAATTAAAGATTTAAAGAATCATTAGAATATGTATAATGAGATTAAGATATACCAGCAGATGCCATGTAAGAGATGGCGGCGAAGACTCCTGTAGAGGACATGGATGACGAAGAAGGTCTCTCTTTTATCGTTTCTTCTCCAATTGAAATGTCTTTCATCGAAGGATCAACAACAATTGCTACCTTATATTTCTCTGGTGACATCTTTTCACTCAACTACACTCTTTTTGTTATATATTATAAAAGTTTTAAGATATATATATTACAAATTTATAACATTTTGGGTATATTAAAAGCGGATAGATGCATGAAATGGACACATCAAAAAGCTCTATCTAGAAACTTTTGATTTGCCAATCCACGATTTCACTATATGGGAATATATATTTGAACTTTTTGTTTCTATTAATTAATTATATATAAAAGGAAATATATATATAATAACTTATTTAAGAAAATTTCTTGCTGTAAATAAAGAACTGTATCTTAAGAAAAAATCTAAATAATAAAAAAAGAAAAGAAAAGTAATACATGGTTTTGCTTGGTATAATTTAAACTAAATGATTAATTTCAAAAAAATTAAATTTAAGAAAAAGATATAATAATATTTTGTTATAAGTAGAAGATATCTTTAGGAAGTAAATAGAGATTTTTTAGTTAGAGAATAGAGTTTTTGTTTTATATATCCATTTTTGCCTTAATACACTAATTTGTATTTCTATATTTCTTATAATATTATTAATTAGTTATATTATTTTACTATAGTTTTATATACTTTTTATAAAAATAATAATAATTGTAGTTCTTTTACTTTTAAGATTTATAAATTCTAATATAATTTCTGCTTTTTATATAAATTCTATTTTACACCTGTCAAAATCTCGTCGATAAACTTGTCACGTGTCGCGATTTGAGAAACTAAGTTTTATATCATAAAATATTGATAAATTAATGAAATTTGAAAATAGAGCACGTGTTGTACAATAGGGATACTACTATAGTAGTAGATCTAATTACCTAGACATTTTGGCTTTGATGAATTTATTTTTGTTGTCTATTATATATATGTCAGTGGCATATGATATGGTATTTGACAAAGTAAATGTTAATTTTTTTTAATATATAAGAGAGATTAAGAAACTTAAAAAGATTGAAACCAAGGGAAAGCAAAAACCCAAAATTAGGTGAAGAAATGGTGCGTCTTCCATGGGAGTTGATTGAAGAGATACTCTCTCGTGTCCCACCTGAATCTCTTATTCGCTTCAGAACCGTATCGAAACAATGGAACGCTCTTTTCGACGACAAGATGTTCATCACTAACCACAAGATGACGTTTCGGTTCATCCTAGCAACAGAATCCAAGGTTTATTCGGTAAGCATCGATCCCGTTATAGTGGTACATGAGTTACCCTTAGGCACTCCCGGCTTAGAATCTATGGAACTTACAAACTTGGTTGATTGCAATGAGTTGTTGCTATGTGTGAGGAAGAAAGGAGCTGTTGTGTGGAACCCATGGTTGGGAGAGAGTACATGGATCGAGCTGTGGTCAAGACTATCTCGTATAAAATTCCAAGGCATAGGATACGACAGTAAGACTTACAAGCTCGTTGCTAACTACCCTGGGATCAAATATCCCACCTTTGACATGTGGAAAATCTATGAATTTGCCTCTAATGTGTGGATAAACCACGAGCCAGAACCTGGTGATGGTGGTAGCATAAACATTCAAAATGTTGTATCGTTGAATGGAACTTTGTATTGGGTTTGTTTTCATGACGAGACCGATCCCTTGTGCTACCACATTAGAAAATTCGATTTTTCTAGCGGATTATTCATAAGATTTTGTGATCTACCATGCGGGAGAAACCATGATGGGGATGCTCTTGTCCTTGGGGTCTTTAGGGGAGATCGGTTTTCGTTGCTAAAGCAATGCAAGGTAACAAAGAAGATTGGTATTTGGGTGACCGAGAACAAGATCAATGAAAATGGTGCGGATGTGGTTTGGATGAATTTCATGAACTTTTCAAGTCCTGACTTGCCGGATTTATACTCTAAGCCAAGTTACTTCATCGAAGATAAAAGACTCGTGGTGTGCTCTTGCAACGACACTGGTCGTGCTTGGATCTATATATTGGGGGATAATAAGTTGATCAGTAAAACTCGTATAGATTGTGTTGTTGATCCTTGGCCTTTGCACTGTACCTTTATTCCCAGTTTGGTACCGGTTCCTCGAGGCCGAAGAGAAGAACTGGCAGAATTACAAGTTTAGTTTTATTACATTTTGGCTTCTTGTTTGGTACGTTATAGAGAAGCTAAATTTGATTTGAATCTTGGTGTTTTTATTCATTACCATCTTATTTGCTTAAACTAGATAATTTACTAATTTTCCCTCACCTTTTCTTGTTGAATGTTCATCTTGATAATAACCAGTACATTTCGTAATCCCTTACAAATACATCACATTTCTTACTTGCAAATGATCCAATCAAGAAAATGAACCATATGATATTCTGAATTAATTCATCAAAGAAAACGTCTAATAAACCATTTGATTTTTTTTTTATGAAATGTGAAATTAATTTATGAATCAAAGGCTATTTACAATAGTTATAGAGTTTCCTAAGACTTACACTAAACAGAGCATATAATTTAAAAACAGAAGCTCAAGCTACGATCGATTAAGTCTTGAACTGAACAATCGTTGTAGCAGCCCTCTTATCTTCCGGTTTTCAGTGTATCTCAAAGACATGATTCGCGACCTTATTGTCTTCTCCATCGTGCAAGCCAGTTCGGTGTGAGTCACGTAATGCTTGTTGTGCTTTCGCTCATTGCGTTCCCACCATAAGTAATATAATGTTGCTTGAAAAGCCAGACGGAGGAGAATGTAGCCGTTCCCCTCAAACGAATGAACCAGTTGTTTAACCAAATATATATATATACTAGGGATTGACCCGCGGTACACCGCGGGACTATTTTTTTTTTAAGAAAATAATATATGTTTGTTTGAGAGAAATTAATATAGGTTTTAAACATAATAAGTCTTTATATAACCCATTTAGATGTGTGATTTGAATATATATGGAAATCAATGTAGTGCTAATTGTATGAGTAGTATGTTGTATGTTTGAATATTTATAATAAAACGAATGAGATTAATATTCAGTAAGCGACGATGTACCGGGTTGTGTACAAAGTACGTATCGTCTTATTGTGTTTGTTGTATATTTAAAAACTTTTGAAAGTGTATAAGGACTTTATTGTTAATGTGCAAATATATGTTTTGGTTCAAAACATTTGGTTATGGTTAGAAATATCTAAATATGATATCTCTTTATTTATTTTCTTGTTGAAAGGAAAAACATATGTGGTAGTGAAATAATTCCGTTGTATTATATATGTAGAGAATTATTGTATTTAATTATGATTATATATTTGAGACAAATAAGTGTTAATTTCATAAATGAAATTTAAAAATCACATTTATAGTATGAGATTTTGTTGAGTAACAAAATCAAAATTGACATGTCCATTTCAAATTAGATGCATATATTAAGTTTGTTTGGACATTAATCTTAAATGTAATAATAATCAGCTGGTTTAATTAGTTTTGGTTTATTAAACCAATACTTGGTTTAGTTAAACCAACAAAATTGAAGCCAACCAAATGCTCAAAACAAAATCGAAATCAACTGAAACGTTGAGTCCGATCCTCCACTCTTCTTTCAATCGAAGAAGCTGATTGATTTCTTCCGATTAACTGATTTCCGGCGAAGGTATCTCCGACGAATTCATTAAAATTTCCTCCTGAAAGCTGCATTAATTTCGGAAGAGATCTAACGTCTCTGCTTTTTGATTTCTCTCGAGCTTGGAGATTGAAAGAGTGATTATAATTCTGGTGGTTCTATAATACTGGTGAGCTAATTCAATGATGCAATTTGAATCTATGGAGTTCAAAACCTAGAAGATGGAGATCATCAATCAGAGGAAGCTTCCATTACTGAGGTAATACATGAAAGTCTCAAACTTTCTCTACTAATTGCAATTGATTGGTAACGTATAAGAGTAATTGATCGCCAGTTTGAAATAGCTTTGTTTCTGGTTCATGTGATTAATGTATATGGTTGTTTAGTAAATTAGTAGAGAAAGTTTCTTTGATGTAGATACTTGTATATCTCTGCATGTAGAGTTGACTTAGCTAATTGGAATGTATATGTTGATTTCTAGAAATGTAGTTCTAGATAACTATAGCTGATTGATTAGAAGATATGGTGAATAGGCACACTTCAATCTGGTAGTACAATGTTTGAGGCAGATATTGAAAGAAATAAAAAGATAGAGCTCATAATTTCATTGAAGATTGAAAAAAAGAAATGACTGAAATGATCATATATTGAATGGTAGCTTGTTTGTCTGGCTGTTGAGTTACTTGATTGGAAGCTTGACTGCTGCCTGAGAAAATTAGAAACTGTTTCCATGTTAATATTTGATTGTGGGTTTTTCAAGCCATAATTGAAATCGGTAGAGTATGTTATAATAAGAAAACATACCTTCTCTGAACCAATTCACAGAGAATGGTATTAGGCAAGTTAGCCTATGTTCTGAAAAACCTCCTTGAAAACAACATTGGTTGTTTGCTTCTGAATTTTTCCTTCTTTGTCTAGTATTAAGATTTTCAAACCTTTCTTAGACGTAACCCTAGACAACGCAACATAAAGCTGACCATGAGAGAAAACAGGTTTAGGCAAGTAAAGTCCAACATGTTCTAGAGATTGGCCCTGGCTCTTATTGATCGTCATAGCAAATGCAACAGATAGTGGAAACTGTCTTCTACGCATCTTGAATGGCAATTTGGTATCTGAAGGTGTAAGGTTTACAGTAGGAATAAACACTATATCACCAACTCTATCTCCTGTTATAACTCTAGCTTCCACAATCTGCTTACATAGCTGTGTAATCTGAAGCCTAGTCCCATTACATAAACCACCTTTAGGATCTAAATTTCTAAGCAACATAACCGGAGCACCAACTTTCAAACGCAAAGAATGGTTTGGCAAACCTGCTACTTTGATACTGTTTAAAAAATCAGGAGTGATAACAGGATTCTTAAGTGAGTCAGAATCATCGGGATCTATACTATCCGCTGATAGATAGATTCGTTCATCACCTGTATGTATACAATATAAATCCACATGTCAGATGTTTACATAATTAATTACACTTCACAGATTTGCTAGAAAGGAAATAGCATATAGTTAAAGTAGACCAACCTTCTAAATGCTCTAGCATATATTGATTTATAGTGTTGACATCATCATTTTTTGGTGCCAAAATAGCTCTTTTTTGAAAGAATTTAGGATCAATGATGGTGTGGAGTTTTGTTGGATCACCATAAATTTCCCAAGTAATAGCTTCTACTGGATTTTCTGCTTCTGTAATCAACAAATCATGTGGAATATCTATTACTGCTTCCCCATCATTAGGCTCATTAATCCTACCATCTCCATTAGCCAATAACCAATCAGAAAACTCTTGGATCTCTTTAGCTTCTGCAGGACTTAAATTGTTTGCTAGTAGTCTCATGTTCTTAGTCAACTTCAAGACTTTGCAGTGATCCCAGAGATACGAAGCATTTAGAGATGACATCACTATTTCTGCTCTACCTGCACCGGGAATTACCGGAAGAACTTGCCTGAAATCACCACCAAAAACAACAACCTTACCTCCGAAAACCTTGTTGTTTCTATTTTTCATAATATCGCAGAAGCTTTTGTCTAAAGCTTCGAAACAAAACTTGGTCATCATTGGAGCTTCATCCCATATAATTAGAGATGCTTCTTTGATAAGATCTGCTAGGTCAGATTTAGGGTGGATCTTGCAAACTGAAAACTCATCAGGAGTCAGTGGGATTGAAAACCTAGAATGTGCAGTTCTACCTCCTTCTAACAACAATGAAGCGATTCCACTTGAGGCGACATTAAGAACAATCTGTCCTTTAGATCTAATCGCAGCTGATAGTGTCTTCCAAACAAACGTTTTGCCAGTTCCTCCAAATCCATAAACAAAAAACACTCCTCCTAAATTATTGAAAACAGCACCAGTAATCTCATTGTAGATACTTCTCTGCTCAGTAGTTAGCATCTGTATCCACTCTGCATGTTTTTCTGTCAATTTACCATCACGGTTGTATCTCTTTTCATCACTTATCAGGCGATTAGAATTATCAATACCTTCTCTTGAAGGCTTGGGAAAACTTTCAAAATCTTCTAGAGTGCTTCCATTAGATAACAAAATTTTCTCTATTTCTTGGAGAGTATAGTTCTTAATTTCCGCTTCTGTGAGGGTAAGTTCTGCAAAGATTAGTATGTTAGAATTAAAAAAATAAGCTAAGCACTTTAGTATAAATAGACATGTCCATACTAAGACCACAATAGTATACACTTCTTTGTCTCAATATCCTCAGCTAACAGATGCCATGTTTGTTCCCAAACATGTTCTGGTCTTGCCAGAGACCCAGAAAGCAGCAGCATTGCAAAGAAATTCCTCAAATAATCGCCAAAACAAAACTGTCTTAATTCTACCAGACCATCAATGAAGACCTGATCATCATCTAGAATACCACGTGCAAAACATGCTTCTTTGTAAGTTTTGTAGACAACACCATTAAATGTTTTGATGTCAGCATAAGTCTTTGGACCTCTGACAATGTTAAGTAAGACTCTAAGATAGTACTCATCTTCCATTTTCCTTGGTACGTAGTTAATGCGACCCAAAGACCAACCTTTTTTTCTTGGATTGAACTTCTTATTTGTTCCATCCCAAGTGAAATATGCTGGAATTTCTGCATACAAACACTCTCGAGCACGTTTTCCTTTCTTTCCAACTGCATTCTTCCTATTCAAAGTGAGCCAGGCCATAAACTGAGAGTCTTGATTCGATACACGTTCTAGAACATCTGCAATCTTTGCCTTGGGATCGAAATAAGCTGGCTGCTTTCCTTCACAGTGGAAAGATAGTTTTAGGACATGAGTGGATCTATGTTGAGTAGGAAATTTGAAAATCCTCCAAATAGCTTCTAATGCAGATACATACCTATGGGAGAAAGATTATTTAAAAAATATGAGTAGTGAATCTTGAGCTTAAAAATCCTAGAGAAATTAACTTTATAAAAAGACAAAAACTAACCTGCAGTCAAACCAATCTTTGATTTCATTCTTCTTTTTCTCAGTGGAAACTGGTTCTTCACCAGGAGTTGTTGTTGTTTCACTAGCTGTAGATTGCTTTACTGGTTCTACAATGAATACAACTTTATCTGGTCCTTTGTTTATATACTTAAATAAGTATTTGATAGAACCGTTCTGATTGCACCATTCCACATTGATATGAGCATTATATCGCAGGGATAGTTTTTTATTATAAGGCACAACATACCTATTATCACATT